TTTGAATGTTAATCTACCTTGAACAGAACACCTTAAAATTATTTTTATATTTTTTTTTTTTTTTTTACTGCTTTAAGAAGTTCTGTCTTAGGCTTCTTAATTCTAAGTTCATGTTAAATGTAACAATTTTTTTCAGTGACAGACCTATTCAGTTGTTAATTTGAATACAGAAGGTTTTTATTAAACCTTGAAATGTGATTTTGTATGTACAACAAATTATTTGAATTTCAGTTTCATTTTTTAAAATTTTGTTCAAAATATCGTGATATGTATCGTATCGTGAACCCAGTATCGAGATACGTACCTTATCGTGACCTGAGCATATCGTTACACCCCTAACAGTTACAAGCTCGAAATATTAACTGAAAGAAAATATAAAAATGTAATCAAATTCAAAAAGTCTATATCAGAGACACATTTTGCCTTTTCACTTCACAGCGGTTTGGATAATCATATGGGAGTGTGATTACAGTATGGCGTAGTTTTTATTTGTATTTATTTCATTATGCTGCTCACTGAATGTAACTGGTTTATTTGCACTAAACTCGTCTCGTCTTAGCAACAGTGTAAAGATATTATGAGATTTTGCAGGAATGGCCCTCCTTCAATCGGTTCTGCTCATGTCTTCACGCTCGTTTATTAGTTAAATCAGCTTCAAAGAGCCTCGTTTACACTGCAGAATCCACATTACACTCACTCTCACACACACACACAGACTTATATACACTCACTCACAGACACACACGCAGAGACTTATAGACACTCACTTTCACACACACACACACACTCTCACATATACACACTCTCACACACACACATACAGTGGGTACGGAAAGTATTCAGACCCCCTTAAATTTTTCACTCTTTGTTATATTGCAGCCATTTGCTAAAATCATTTAAGTTAATTTTTTTCCTCATTAATGTACACACAGCACCCCATATTGACAGAAAAACACAGAATTGTTGACATTTTTGCAGATTTATTAAAAAAGAAAAACTGAAATATCACATGGTCCTAAGTATTCAGACCCTTTGCTCAGTATTTAGTAGAAGCACCCTTTTGATCTAATACAGCCATGAGTCTTATTGGGAAAGATGCAACAAGTTTTTCACACAT